CCGTGGTCAGCAGTTGGCCTGGTGGGAGGAGTACTGTGGGGGCAGGGGGCCTTCCAAGAAACCCTGAAATCTCACTGAAAAGGGAGTCTGTAGTGTTTCTCTTGTCTCTACTCTTCCCATTAAAGGGGCTCAGTTCTTCCCAGACTTTCTGGCACACTTTCGCTCATTAGCAATTAATGTGGAAGGTCTTCTAATTAGCAAGGCCCCTGTGGTAGCAAATGCTGGTGCTGGATCGACTGAGTTCAACTCGAGTTCTGCCATCATGTGATCCCAGGGGAAGTTACTAAACCTCCTAGAGCCTTGGTTTCCTTAATTGTAAAAGGGAAATCTACAGATATCTCTCCCACAACAGTGCAGACTGAGAGGGGTAATGCACCATCAAAGCCAGGCCACTGCAGGCGGGGTTTTTCAGGTGCAAGACACTGAGATGCAAGACCTTTACTAGGGATCCGCTCCTGTGTGTGGCAAGGGGAGGGAGCAGGCCTGGGCGGAGGGAAAGCTGATGCCATGCATCAGCCCCGGAGTGAGTGCTGCGCATCTAAGTTGTCCCAGGAGGGGCTGCAATGGTCAGCCCTCTCTATCCCTGCCTCATGCACCTGCCTGACGTGGCTGCCCCAGGGAAGGGCGTACTCCTGAGTGAGGCAGCTCCCGCAGCATCAGAGGCAAACCGTAAGCTGATGTCTGGAGGCTGCCTGCTGGCCACAGTCCTGCAGCAAAGTGTCAAGGCCTTCCCTGCAGGCTGGGTTGGAAGGCTTATCTTCACGTCTACCACGTAGGCATCCAACAAACATGCTTCCTCCAGGCCACTAGAACCATATGCTTTTTTTTTTTTAAACTTTTCTCCATCCTCTTTCCATTCTCCATCTGCCTGCTTCTCTTGCACCTGCTCCTTCTGGAGCTTCCATCTCCCCACAGTCTTGAGAGCTTGCAGCTCCTCTGCAGGGGACCTAGAAGTGGTGCGGCTTCAGTTGCTGTTCTGCACGTTTCTACGTAAGCAGGAAATCTCTTTAACATTTTTTTTCTCATTCAGATTATTTGCCAGTTACCCATAACTCCTCTTTTACTTTGATAGAGAGAAAAAAACCAGCCAGGCTTTATTCTGCTAAGTAGACCAGCCCAGATGCTGGTGAATGCACTGTCGGCCTGTGGCCTGCCAGCTGGTACTAACAACAGGGGAGAAGGCTTGGCTGCCTTGCTAATGGATTTCCAAGAACAAGGTGGGCAGCCAAAAAAGCCAGTTGGGCTCATTTCTTTCCCCTCTGTTACCTCTCTAAAAGATAAAGAGGCTGTCGGATCATGAATGGGAACATGGATTAGATAATATTTGGGAGGTTAATGTCAAAGGTGCTGGGAAGCCAATGTATGAAATAGAGGACAGGAGAAGACAGCTGATTTCTAAATGCCTCTGACATTCAGAAGCTGCTCTCGGGAGGACGTGGTAGGTGTGCAGACAATGGGAAGCCAGATCATGGGCAGAGGACTGGGAGCAGCTGTGAGGGCCCCAGATGTGTCTGCGATTGTCTTCCTAATATGACCAATCCTGGCATCACTCCCTGGAGATGCCTGCATTTTCGGGTGTCCCAGGCCACATCCCTCTGAGCTTTGGGGATGGTTCCAAAAATGGCAGAGAGAGTGAGAGCATGTGTATCTTTTGGCCACGTTAGAGAGAGGACCGCTGATCCTGTGTTCTGGCAGTTGATTTGCTGTATGTGAAATCTCCGCGCCTGGGCTGCAAGCCCGTGAGCACGGCAGGGGCTGGGAAAGCCCACCAGCTCCCTCCATGGATGGCGGCCATGCGATCTGCCACACGGGGCCTCTCCTGCCCTGGCTTCCCTCAGGAACCCCACGGAGGGGACTCGGGAAGTGGGGACTCCCTTTCAGACACCATTTCAAGACTCAGCCATTCTTTTTAAATGTTTTATTTTGGTAAAAATACTTAGTATGAGACCTACCCTCCTGGCAGATTTCAAGTGTGCGTATTGCTGCTGACCGCGGGCCCAGGGTTGTGCAGCCTCCTCGGCACTTACTCATCGGGTTTAACTGAAACTTTATGCCAGTTGATTGATAACTTCATTTCCTTCTCCTTGTCCCCCGGCCACCGCCATTCCAGTCCTAGAGGCTACGAGGCTGGCTATTTTAGATAATCCACATGAATGGAAATATGTAGTACTTGTCTCTCTGTGTCTGGGCTTGTGTCACTTAGCGTACTGTCCCCCAGGTCCATCCATACGGTTGCTCATTATAGAATTTTCTTCTTTTTAAAGTCAAGCCTCAGATATTCTGTGGAAGAAGCCAGTAGCAGGGCTTCAGTTTACTTCCATGTTTGGGGATGTCAGCCTGGAATCCTTGTGCAGAAAGAGCGGAGCATCAGATTTGACGGTGTTGAGGCCTGATGGTCCCAGCAATGTTTCATTTCATTTGTGAGTCTACCAGCACCTGGAGAGGCTGAGTGACTTGTCCCAGGTCTCACCACTTGTGAACAGTGGGGCAGGCCCCAGCTGGCTCCAGAGACTTCAGGTCCGTGGTGACCCTGTGTCTGATTTTTCTCAAATCAGAGAAGACATGGGGACATGGACGTTTAATCCCACAGAGAGTCAAGTCAGGCGCTAAACAACCAGGGCTTCAGAGGAGGCTGCTGTCCTCACTTGCCAGTGGTCAGACATCTTCCGCCGTCCTTGGACTTGGCTGTGGAGCCTTTGAAATGTGGCTCATCCAAACTGAGAAGTGCTGCATGAATTTTAAAAGCTTTGTGTGAAGGAAGAAGGTAAACTACCTCATTCATAATTTCTAGATGGATTATATGCTGAAATGATATTCTGGACATATTGGGTACAATAATTATATTTAAAAAGTATACTTTATATTTATAGTAATATCAAATATACTATTAAAATTAATTTCACCTGCTCCTTCTCACTTTTTAAAATTGGGCTACTAGAAAATTAAAAATACCCCAGTGATTCACATTACATGTCTACTGGATTACTCTAGAGTCACCCATATCCCTGAATACATTTACTCTGTTTTTGGCTTCTGCCTCTTCAGTTGACATCACTGTTACTGGTGGGGACTGAGTAGGTCACCCACTTTGGACTTTGAAACTTAAGAGGTAGTTCACAGCATGGTGTTATTTTATATGCAGGTACGCATGCTTATAATTGGATGTTCATAGGGGACTTGGCACTTTAATATCAAGAAGCCTCCTGGGGTCAGGCCTTATTCACTCAACAAATATTTATGTGACATCTTCCTGGTGATGAAGTATTTTGTCAGGTTCTGGGACTATGTCTGAGAACAAGAAAAAAATTAGTCACTGGCCTTGGGGAGCTTATAGTCTGGTAGAGCCAATGCCATTGTGGTGGGCAATTTTATGTGTCAACTTGACTGGGCCACGGTGGGGGGGTCCAGATATCTAGTCTAAGAATATTCTGGGTGTTTGGGAATGAGATTAACATTTGAATGAGTTGAGTGAGTAAAGCAGATTGTGGGTGGGCCTCATCCAATCAGTGGAAGGGCTGAGTAGAACAAAAAGGCTGAGTGAGAAGGAACTTCAGCAGCCTGACCCCTGAGCTGGACACCAGCCCATTCCTGCCTTTGGATTTGTACGGAACTTCTGCTGTCTGCTCTTCTGGGGCTTCAGCTTGCTGACTGCAAATCTTGAGATTTTTCAGCTTCCAAGTCACATGAGCTGACTCCTTATAATACATAACTCTCTTTCTCTGGAGAATCCTGACTGATACAGACATTAAACAAACAATTTACATACTGAATAATTGTATAGCTGTTTGAGGGTGTGGCGTGGTGGTGAGCTGATACGGAAACACCTAGGGACAGAATCTACTCTACCATCTTCAGGGTGACAGCAGACTCTGGCCTTTTCCCAAAGAGGCCTGGTCCACTGGATCATCTCCTACAACTTGGCTACCTTCCTTGCACATACAGGGCAGGAAATGATCCAGCCAGCTCTAACCCTGGAGTCTGGTCCAGAGTGGAAAGGCTCTTCCTGTCCCTATACCAGTCTTTGACTCCAGGTAGGGGAGGCCAGAGAAGTGAAATCTCTGTTTTTCAGTTCCCCTTATTCCCTTTTTATTATTTAAGTTTCTTTTGATAAGATGAATTAATGAAAATGAATGCCTTGAACACCTCTGCCACTTGGCGTTCTGCATGTTTTATGAAGTTTTGACAGGGAAACGACAATGTCATCCTTCTTTCTACACCTCAGTGCCATGCTTGCAGCTTTAGGAAATGTCTTGCATGCCTGGTGGAGAGCCTGGGGGTGGAGTTGGGTGTGGGTGCTACATTGTGGGTGGAAGCATGTGGTGGGAGAGTGGTCAGATTAGCATGGATATCAGTCCTGGCCATCTACTGTCTATGTGCCCCTGGGCAGTCATTCAAAATGGCCTGACCCCAGCTGCCTCGTCTGTACAATGGGCTTGTACCGCACACTAGGTAGGCTGACAGGAGGATTAGTGATAAAGTATAAAAAGCCCCTAGCATCACTCTAGCACACAACAGATGCCCAATTGATGGTTTCTATTGCTGTGGGGGGTAATTTTCATAGGGAGGCTCCTATGTCTCTTGTTCCTTGGTCCTCGTTGGTCAGGTTGCCAGAGGGACAGAGTCTGAACACTTACGTTGGAATGATGTTCTGGTCATCTATGACAGCATTACACACTACCCCAAACTTAGGAGGTAAAACCACACCCATGTTCTTATCTGCATGGATCCTGTGGGCCAGGGATTCGGGGGGCACGTGGAGGGATGACCTGTCTGCTCCACCATGTCTGGGTGGGAAGAGCTGATTGGCTGGGGGCTGGAATCATCCACAGGCGTCTTCACGCACATCTGGCTGGGTGTGAGTGGGTTCCCTGATGGCTTAATGAGGCTGAGGATCTTTTCATGTGCTTATGGCCATTAGTATATCTTCTCTGGAGAAATGTCTAGTCAAATACTTGGCCCGTTTTAACAATGGCTTGTCTTTTTAATTATTATTATTATTAAAAAATATGGACTACTTCACGAGTTTGTGTGTCATCCCTGCACAGAGGCCTTGCTAATCTTCTCTGTAGCCTTCCAATTTTTTTAGGATATGTGCTGCTGAAGTGAGCGCTGTCTTTTTAATTGTTGATGTATATGAGTTCTTTATATATTCTAGATACAATTTCCTTATCAGATACTTGATTTGCAAATATTTTCTCCCATCCTGTAGGGCATCCTTTCACTTTCTTGAGTGTCCTTTGAAGTACAAGTTTTAAATTTTACATCCAGTTTATCTATTTCTACTTTTGTTGCTTGTGCTTTTGATGTCATGTCTAAGAAGTCTTTGCTCAACCTGAGTTCATGAAGACTTACTCCTATATTTTCTAAGAGTTTATATTTTTTGCTCTGATTTAGGTCTATAATCCATATTGGGTTAATTTTTATATACAGTGTGAGTAAATGGTCCAACTTCAATCTTTTACATGTGGATATCCAGTTTTCCCAGCACTATTTGTTGAAAAGACTGTTTCCACCCCCATTGAGTTTTCTTGGCATCTTGGTCAAAACTCAGTTGACCATACATGTTAAAGTTTATTTCTGACTCCAATTTCTATATGTCAATCCCTCATACCAAACGTATGTCATGATTACTGTAGCTTTGCAGTAAGTTTTGAAACCAGTAAATGTGGGACCTCCAACTTTGTTCTTTTCCAGTATGTGATGTTTTGGCACCAAAACCATATCCCAGCCTCAAAGCCAAACTCTAGATGAAACAGTGAAATGGACAATTTTGGGCAACCTGCCTCCCTTTCTGTAACCCTTTCCTTTTTCTTCCTTCTGAGCATTCAGATTCTCTCTGTGCTTTCCATCCTTCTCTTTATCAAAAGCTGCTCCCTAGGGAAGAATATAATAAATTTTTTCTTACTTAGGTATAAATGACTAAAAAAGCTTAAAGTCATTACCATTCTCAGGAAAATTTGCTTTTCAAAAAAGAGAACAAAAATGTCTTAAACCTGAGGAATTACTCTCCAATGGTAACCTTTTCTCTATATGCAGGCAGAGGAAAGTGCTTTTTTTTTTTAAGGCAGGGAAGTTCTCATATTGTGTCTGAAAAGATGTGATGGACGGGCCCATATCCTGCTTATGCCCAAGGCTGGCTTTGTTCAAAGTTATTGATTCTTTCTCCCCCAGCTGTGAGTTTTATACCCATCACTTACTTGCTTTGTGACCACGGGCAAATTAACCTCTACGAACCTCAGTTTTCTCTTTTGCAATATGGAGAAAATGGTGCTCACTGCAAAAATGTGTAGCATTTGTTCTGTTTAGCTACTGACAGTAAGACCAACATACATTTGGACTTAACACAACTCCAAAGCCCGAATGCCTTCATCTTTCTCTCTCCAGGAACAGAGATAAACTTTCTACTAAAGCGCTTTAATCCTTCCTTACACAGCTGCTAGGGATGGTGTGGGAGAAGCATTCAGGAAAACAGTATCTGGGAAGATGGAATGGGGATTCTCAGATTCTCTCCTGGATAGATTCTCCCCTCGCCATCAGCCGCTGCTGGATGCGGGACATCTTGCTCAGTCTCCTCTGGTTTGGAACAAGAGTCTGCACTTGCTCACACCTCGTGATGACATGTAGTTTTATACTTTCCACGCTTTTCCCAAGGATCAGCGTGTCTGATCCTTCAAGCATCCCTGTGAGGCCAACTTTATCGCCGTTACACGTGGAGAAACTGAGCCCAGAGAAGCGAAGAGACTTAAGACCCACACCCTCTTTCCATGCATATCACAGATTTGTAAGGCTGAGAGTGACCTCGGCCCCTAACACTGCCACCCACACCATTCCAGACCCCAGGGACCAATCTGCTCTTTGTTTTATACACTTATTGGAGATTTCACCTCATTTGGCCATGGGAGCGCTTTTGTTCCTAAGAAGTTCCTTGTTTTAAGATGGAAAATCCCAAACCAGTGACACCCCAAACTCAAAACGCATACATGTTTTCCTGAGTTGCTATGTGAGGCACTAGGTTTTAGTGTTGCACAGCCTGAACCGCTGGGAAGGACAGACCTGGGTGCGATGGTTGAGAGGGACGCGCTGCGTTGAAGTATACGGGCCCCTAGGGCGAGCGCGGCCCAGGCCGAGCATTCCCGGACCTGCCCGGTAGATGGCAGCATCGTGCAGCCGATGCCTCCTCTCCGGGCGCCAGCCTCACTTTACCCCTCCGCGTCTTCCCTGTGCTTGGCTGCGAGGCACAGGTAGCCAGTGCCTCCCCACTCCCTGATGCCCGCGGTGCCGCATCATCTACTGATGGTCTGTGCCTGGCAGGTCACAACAGGTCTGAATCCATAGCATGGGGCTGACTCAGGCTCGGGTGTTTTTGTGGCTCCGAGTATAGCCGTTACTTTGGCTAATTGGCCTAGACCGTTTGTCCGCGCCTCCCTCCCCGCCCCATCACCAAGAAGTGCAGGAAAGGCTAATAAACGTTTCCTCATCCAAGTGGTTTCTTACCCCATTCCTTTTGTGCCGTGAGCTTTGTCCTTAGCGACCCCCGTGTTCCCAGCGGCTCACGGTCCCGGGTCGTTGCCTCTCTCTTGCGTTCTCCCGCCGACAGGGACTCCGCGTGCCCTGCGATTTTGACTGTGGCCACTAGAGGGCAGCAACGTCACGTGCTGCGCAGGAGCCTGGCCGGGAAATGCGGCGGGCTGGTCCCAGGCCGTCCACGTCCTAGACTTGACCTTGGGACCTGCAACTGCCTGTGGCGGGGGCATTCCCTCTTCCTGACTCTGTGGGCTCTTTCAAGTGTGCTCTGGGGTCCCTTTCCCTCAGAAATCTCATTCCCCTAGTCCTCCCTCTTCTCGTTTGTGTCTCAGTCGCTGAATAGATTGGCTGGTTCCCATCAGCTTTTTAAACATCAAGTAAACCACATAGTGGGAAGAGGGGATCCCGGTAAGTTCCTCTCTGCTGAATACCCCCATCTCTCAGGACACGTACCCCACCACCAAGCTTTAGTTGGCGGAGATAGGGAGACTTTTAGTTGATTTAGTTCCTCAGTCCCCTTCACCGTTCTTCCCCACACTTCCCTCCATTTCTCAGATGCTCATCCTTATCTTTCTTATTTGATCTCCCTAGAACTGGCACCATCTCCCTTCCTCCCAGATCTGTCCTGCCTTGGCTAGATTTTGATTTCGAGACTTCTGCTCTGGCTGTTCCTTTCTCAATTCTTCAGAAATTTACTTCCTTTGCCAACCCTTTAAATGTCTGTGGTTCCAGCATTCTGTCTTTGGCCCCCTTCTCACCCTCCTCACCTTCCCTGAGAATCTGTTTATGTGCCTAGAGCCAAAACCTACCACTGCCTTCTCCACAACCTCTAGAATTTATTGATCACTAATTCTGATGGCAACCATGTAGTTAACTTGGTGCAAATTTCTCTTTTGAGCTATAGACCCATTTCTTCATTTTGCCAGGCTAACAGGTCTGCTTGGAAATAATGCTTAGAAAGTTGTCTCTGGCCTATAACACTGAGGATGGTGGGCACTGTTTGTCTCCTGTAAAGCACTGCTTTAAATGAATAATTCTTCACCTCTGAACAGCTCGTACTTCTCTTTCAAGGCTTGTCCAAGATTGAAAAATGTCCCTCTCTAGTGCTTAACTAGAGAAGCAGTCACTGAATCTAACTATCCCTTCTCCCTCCTCCCACTGTTGAGGGAAGCACATCAAGTCACGCGATCCTCCATCTCAGCCCTGGATGATTGGACCCGGGCTACAAAACCGGAGTGGCAATGGGCCAATCAGAGTCTTTTTTCTTGAGATTTTGGGACTGCAACGATGAGAATAGGGAGGGGCTGTCGGGTGTTCAGGAGATGAAGCGAGGGCTTTCAGCTGAGGGAGCAGAGGAGCAGGCTGTGGCTGAAGGGCTGGGAGGCTGAGTGTGAGATGAGAGAAGCAGGAACCAAGCCATGTGACCTTATCTTGTCCGGGTCAAGCGTTAGATAAAGTATTTGAGGAGAACAGCTCAGTTATATCTGAATGACACAAAGGGTGGCGGGGGATGGGGGAGAGTGGAGAATTAGAACTGCAGAATCAAGATCCAAGAAAATCTCACAGATCTAAATTAAAAGTGATGGAGTTCAATAAATGTGAAGTTCTACATTTAGGTTAAAATTGTTCATTGACTTTCAAAGATATATACACAAGGATGTTTATAACTGCATATGTATAATAGTGAAAAGTACATGAAAAATGAAATATGCAACTATAGGAAAATAATTAAATATTCTGTGTTTTCAAAATTGGGTTCAAATGCTAGCTTCTCCGTTTGCCAGCTGGCATTAACAAATTACATGACTTCTCTGCGCCTCACTTTCCTTACTTAGAATATAGGGTTCCTAATACCACCTCTCATGTGAATACTACACAGGCACTACATAATATCGTTACCTGTTAGTATTATGTTTATAAATATGTTTAATGTCATTAGAAAATGCTCAGTCTGTCATGTTAAGTAGAGGAGGGAATCTATGCAGTTTAATCTCTGGTACACATGTGGGTTTGTGTCTTTCTGTAGTTCAGATCTTCTGCTTTGTCAGCTTGGGGTACAAGATATGGTCACATGTCTCTAGTGAACAGAGGAGAAACCCCATCCTACTTAGGATGAAAGCTCCCTTCTCTTTCCCAGAGGACCCCTTCTTGTGATATGCCTAAGGCTCCTCTGTCCCAGTTTATTAAGGATCAGTGATACTCCCACATGTCTTGGAGAGAGCCCGGGAGAATCTGACCGGCCAACTGCAGCTGCACTTACTGCTCCCAACACTGGTGTCTGGTGGAAGTGGTTGGCCACCACTGCCTTGGGTCCTCCCTGGCCGTGCTGTCACTGCTGGTCAGGGGATGGGTCCCATCGTGCTGGGGAGAGGAGATTTCCTCCCTTTGTTCTATACCAACAATGACCTGGGCTCCCAATATTCCAACTTCTTAGTTTGCCCTCATGCACATTCTTCTCAAACTTGCCTCTGGTGCCGCAGTGGTTGCAGCAGTCGAAGGCTGCTGTGTTGTCCTGGTCCTGAACAGGAACCACCTCCCCTCAGCACCAGCGATTCAGTGATCCAGGTGCCTGCATAAGACCAGCTATACTCATCAGAGATGCTTGAGAACAAGTGTACCTCAGGAGAGGTAGTTAGGGGCTTCACTCCTTTCCTCCTAGGGAGCTCCTGGGCTCTTTCAAACTGACTCATCTACTCCCCAGTGACATTTGACCTTAGTACCAGGGGATGAGATGGACAGCCTTTGTCCTGTGACTGCCATTCTTGCCTCTGGATGGTGGGTGCCTCTGCCTTATATCTGCAAAACTAAAAGAAACTGCCCATGTGATTGTTTCAGAACAAAAATGTGTCCCAAGATGACTTGTTAGACATGGAAGTGGCTGGCAACTCTTAACTTGCAGATTTTCTTGCTAACAAAAAAATTTTTAAGATTCTGTCCCATCAGGGACACTGCTGCATATTCATGAAAAAGAAATTGACTGCAAAGAACTATATCACATTATTAGCCATGCTTACCTCTGGGTGGTGGGATTCCAATGGATCCTTTTCTTTTTTGTGTATTTTGTTATGTTTTCCAGATTTTTAACAATGAATATGTATTACTTTCACAATTAGAACCATAGATCCTGCTAATAAAATTATTTAAAAAACAGTCACTTATCTGGGTGGGAATATCTGTGTGAATATTTGCCTCTGTCCTAGGTCCACCCCCGTTACTCCAGATGACTGCTCTGTTTTCTGCAGGTGGATCTGGCTCTCCCCCACTGCCAGTGAGGGGCCAAGACGACTGTTCTATAGAAGTCCCATATGGTCACAAAGAGGGAGGTTTGGAATTAGTCTTTGTGTTGGTTTCTAAGCCATCCAACAAGGCTACTGGTCACAGCTACCCTCTCACAAATTCTGCCATTGGGATGTCTATGTGGGGTCCCCAAGATGACCCTCAGATCTGACAGTTTGCTGGAAGGACTCACAGACCTCAGAAAAGCTGTTTTCTGTTTTCACAGTTATGGTTCATTACAGTGAAAGGATGAAGATTAAAATCAGCGAAGGAAAAGGTGTATCAAGTAGAGTCCAGGAGAAACCAGGCACGAGCTTCCAGGTGGTTTCACCCATTGGAGTCGCATGAACAGCCTGTGGTTCCCCAGCAGTGCTGCCTGACAACACGCATGAGGTGTTGCTAACTTGAGCCTTGGTGTGCAGGGCTTGTATGAGGGGTCAGTCACGTGGGCATGGAGTGGTCATGTGACTGACCTTAGATACTCAGTCTCCAGCCTCCTCAAAGGTCAAACTGATAGTCTTGGAACCAGGGCCCCAGGCAAACAAAAATAGGCATTTACCATGTATCACATTATCAGCATAAACTATCTGCCATGGCTCTGGGCCCCAGATATACAAGATATGCCTCTCAGGCAGGATATTCCAATAGCCTACAGGTTACCTATCAGGAGCCAGTCAGGGCCAGTCCTTCCTCTGGAATGCACAGAGTTTGGGCCCCCAGGTCTGCTGGGTTAACCCTTCACTGCACGTGAGGTCAGGCTTTACAAGCTTGGGCCTGTTTGGATCTCTTGGATACTTGGAATTTTCTTGTTTTTTACCCCTTTAGATCATGGGGCCTGAGCCAGGTGGGCAAAGCCCTGCTTTATTCTCCTTGTGGCTTTATATACTGTTCTCTGAGGCCCTGTTGGAGGCAGAATTCCATGCAGGAGTTTGGGTTGGCTTAACAGTCTCATAGTCACTATTTTATACCTCTGAAGCTGTGTGCCTGCTCTGGTGTCCCCACAGGTCTTTCTGCGACCCCTGGAAATGGGCTGCATTGGCTATGGGTCTGCTTGGATTAGGGCTTGGACAATCGATGGCCTATACTGAGGCCACAGCTGTACCCACACAGCCCTGTACCCCTCCCAGGCTGTGCCCAGCATGCCTTGCAGTGAATGCCACTACCTTGCAAAGTAATTTACTCCCTGCTGGGTGCAAATCCTTAACATAAGTGACGATAAAAGAGGTCTGAGAATTGTAGTTGACCACAAATTCTAATGAAAGAGCAGAGAGGTAGTCATTATAAAAAAAATTAGACAGTGACAGGGAGTGACAGCATTGGAGTCAGAGCTGAATTTGAGTCCATTGCTTAGTTTTCTAGTTCTGTGAACTTGAGCAAGTTATTTGCTCTCTGAGTTTTAATTTTTTTTCATCTAAAATGGGAATATTAAAGTTGGGTATAGTTCTGATTACAAAAAAAATGTATGCAAAGAAGCTAGGTCAGTATGTGGCACATGGTGGGGTGCAATGAATAGTAGCTGCTACTAATATTATTGGCTGTATTAACAGAGTAGGTGTTTATAGATCAAAGAAGGTAGTTGACACACTGCTCAGCTTCATCTGGGCCTCCACTCTAGGATGTGTGTGTGTGTGTGCATGACGGAACATTTGGAGTTTTTCCAAGGATGGTGGTCAGGAGGGCAGAGAGTCTGGAAAATATGTCACATGAAGGAAATGGGGATATTTAGCTTGGAAAAGAGAAAAGTTTTCTCTGCCTTTAAATATTTGCTAGGTGACCATGTAGACATGTGTGGTGTAGCTACAAAGGATGTACTAGACCCAATGCAGAAACTCTAGGGAGGCCAGACCCTGTCAGAAACAATTCTCACTGTCTAACAATCACAGATGCCCAACAGCAGATTAGATGGCTCCTGAACTGTCCTCGTCCTGGAATCATGCGTTGGAAGATGTGTGAC